AGGTTTTTAAAATTTACAGGCAAAAAAAAAAAATGTTTTGGCAAAATTGCTCCTTCTCCACTGTCTGAAATAGTAGGGTTATGGATTTACTCACATTAGAGCTTTGGAGATAACCACACACACGTGCACACACAATTATAGCTTCTCTGTTTCTTAAAACTGATCTAGACTTCTTCACAAAGCTCTACCGACTAAAAAAACAAACAGAAAGCAACTCTTAATTCAATCTATTAAATCCAGTCTACTTAAATAAATATTATCTATGAAAGTTCAGCAACATTATTGTAAGCCTTAACTGATATGTTTAGAACCTCAATCTTTCAGATTTGGCCGCCATCCACTTCCTCTTCTCATTTCCCACCCCTCTCTTTCTCAAGGAGTCTGAGAGAGTAAGGGACAAATGTGGCTTCTGGGAACTCAAAGTGATGGATATAAGACCCATCTTCTTGTTCCTCTCTGGTCCCTACCTTGGCATAACTGGCCTTTTCTGCTACCAAGAGTGGTGACCACTGGTCCCACAGCTCTGGGCTTTTCAGAAGGGTGCCTCTGCAACATTTCACAACTCCAGCCTCTTGTTTCAAGTCTTGAGAGCCATCCTGAAGCTCCCCATGTCAACCACAGACTTGTGCCAGGCAAGGAGGAGCTTCTGGACCCCTGTACAACAGACAGAGACCATGGAAGCCAATAGCATTGCCTCAAGTTCACTGCCACCCACTCTGTTGCCATCTCTCCAGGAGGCCAGCATTCACTAGTATGTCTATACCCATTGTTAAAATATTGTAATATTTTCATGCTTGTTGGTTAGTAGCCACTGTTTTAAATCATTGGAGTATCCCCCCATTACAACAGCCCTTTACTTGGATGTTCTTGCCTCATTAAAGATGGTAAAGAACCCAGGACACAGCTCAACTTCATGTCTGGACTCCGATTGGTCTAGATGATTCTGGTTATTAAATATTTTGAATATTACCTCTGAACACAGAGGCATGTGGCTGTTCCTCTCCCTTGTTTGTTTGGAGTTGTATGCTACTCAGGTATTTTCTGAAGGCCACTGCCATCTGCTTAGGGTGGTGGAAGTGATGTGTAATAAAGAGTTTGGACCTGAATCAAATGACTGCTCTTTGTCTTCTCCTGCAAACAATTGCAGGCTAAAAGGGATGGACTATAGGCTTTTCCCTTCTCTGAATTGTAGACTCCTTTGACAATAGGGTAACAAGGATTATGGACCAGCTACCATGACCACAGGACCCTCTTCTTTATACCACATGGGAAATCTATGATCTGACTCATCTGGGTTTGATTCTTGATATGCCAAAGCAGTTGAGAAAGCATCTCTCCATTAAACCAGCTTTCTCTAGCATTCCATCTGGAGCAGTCAAATCTCTTCCCTCCCCAAACCACACCACCACTAACCTTGGCCTGATTAGAGAGGAGATCATGATCATGAGGAGATAGAAAAAGACACAAATAATTTCTAAAACATTACCCCCATTTTATCTGTGTTCCAACTTTGATTCTAGAGGCAGCTTTCTTCAGTAAGTCAGTAATGGTTTCAAAAAGAGTACCAATGTGTCCTCTACCACATGATCTGCTATCATATATCTATGTGTCATTATAAAATCAATCATGTGGTTTTGTTTTGGTTTTTTTTTTTTTGGTATCTACTCTTTTCCCAGCTTTTAAGGAACACAGTGAGGCTTCACAATTAGGAGGCAGAACTTTTGCCTTTGAGGACTGTCATTTCTAGCTGGAGGGACAAAATCAGCATCAGAAAATAGTTCAAGATTGAATGAGTGCTAAATTCTCTCACATTCAGAGAGGGGAGATCAATATGGTCTCCTGAGAAGAATTCTGGAGGAAGTGAGAAGTGACCAGGGCCTTGAAACATGAATTTCATATTTTTGAATTAAGAACTGAATATGCTTTCCCTCTAAGACTAGGAAGTAGACAAAGATGTTCCCCTTTACCTCTCCTTTTCAACATCATACCAGAAGTACTAGCATATGTGGTAATCCAAGAAAAGGAATAATAAAAGGTATACATATTGGGAAGGAAGAAGTAAAACGGTCTTTGTTCACAGATGACATTATCATCCATGTAGAAAATTCAAAAGAATTGACAAGAAAAATTAAAACTAATGACAACTATAGCAAGGTTGAAGGATATATGGTTTTAGACAGAAGTCCATCATTTTGCTATATGCTAGCAATGAAAGTGAATTTGAAATTAAAAACACAGTGCCACTTACACTAACACCCTAAAATATTTAGGCATAAATCTAACAAAACATATACTAGATTTATATGAGGGAAACTACAAAACAGTGATGGATGAAATCAAAGGACTAAATAAATGGAAATGTTTGTGGATAAAGATAAATCCAATGTTTGTGGATAGGAAGACTCAATATTCCCAAAATGTCATTTCTTCCCACCTCAATCTATAGATTCAGTGCAATCCCAGTCAATATCCAAGCAAATTATTTTGTGGATGTTGACAAACTGACTCTAAAGTGTATGTGGAGAGGCAAAAGACCAACACAATAGCCAACACATAGTAAAGAAGGACAAAGTCATGCAAGACGACCACTGCCTGACTTTAGGACTTAATAGAAAGCTATAGTCATCGAGACAGTGTGGTATTGGCAAAAGGAAAGACAGATGGGCCAGTGGCACCAAATAGCCCAGAAATAGACCCACATAAATAGAGTCAACTGATCCTTGACAAAGGAGCAAAGGCAATACAATGGAGCAAAGATGGTCTTTTCAACAAATGGTGCTGGAACAACTAGACATTCACATGCAAAAAAATTAATCTAGACAGACTTTATAACTTTCATAAAAATTAACTCCATGTGGAAACACAGACTCAATGGAAATATAGGTTGAGAAGGGAGGAGAGAGGTCTGCATTAAGCATGGGAGGAGAAAGAGTATCCAGGAAGAGCATATAAAGACAAGAGGTGAGGGTTAAGACCCAAACCCTTGGAAGCCCAGTCTTTAAGGTGCAGGCAGCAGAGAAAGAGCCAGAGAAAAAGGCTGAAAAAGTTCAGGGAGTTCTGAAGAGAATTAAGGGAGAACTTGTGCCATAGAGACCATACCTTTAATCTGTGGAAATTTTACCTTCAAATGCCCATTCTGAACCGTCGTTTTCTTAAACGTATTCTATCACCACCACCCACTCTAGGAAACACTTCTCTTCAGTGAGGTCCTCTGAAGTTCAGAACAAGTCATCATGAACAGGGATCACGGTCCCCAGAAATAAACCTAATCTCCTGGTCTTCCAGAGTATATAAACCTGCAGGGAGCCTAATGGTGCTCTAGGTTCTTAAGAATAATCTTAACATCTCTGTGCAAGGGTTTTTAGTAGTTTTTTTTTTCTGTCTTTGATGACATCTAAGATAAATAACATATATATACATTGGGTCATTAGGATGGCCACCTTAAACCCCTAGTAACCAAGTGCTAACACCCAGTTTCTACACCCATATTTCTGCCTATGCTGATGTTTACATTGGCCAGTTCAGTTTGTTGTAAGCAAAGGAAGAAATCAAAAAGAAAAGCCAGTACTTCAAAGTGATGTCTCAGCGTTCTATATAATAGGGTCTTGCATTAATTCAAATACGGAAATGGGGTTGATCATTTTAATCCTTTCATGGTACTTGGAAATCTGAATGTGTTCAATGCAAAACAACCTAACCAGCAAGAGTATGTACAAAACTCACATTAAGAATAGCAATTTACTGGCCAACAGACACATGAAAAACTGCTCCACATCACTTGGCATCAGGGAAATCCAAATCAAAACCTCAATGAGATACCACCTCACACCCGTCAGAATGGCTAAAATTAACAAATCAGGAAATGACAGATGTTGGCGAGGATGCAGAGAAAGGGGAACCCTCCTACACTGTTGGTGGGAATGCAAGCTGGTGCAGCCACTCTGGAAAACAGTATGGAGGTTCCTCAAAAAGTTGAAAATAGAGCTACCCTACGACCCAGCAATTGCACTACTGGGTATTTACCGCAAAGATACAAATGTAGGGATCCAAAGGGGCACGTGCACCCCAATGTTTATAGCAGCAATGTCCACAATAGCCAAACTATGGAAAGAGCCTAGATGTCCATCAACAGATGAATGGATAAAGAAGATGTGGTATATATATACAAGGGAATATTATGCAGCCATCAAAAAATTGAGATCTTGCCATTTGCAACAATGTGGATAGAACTAGAGGGTATTATGCTAAGTGAAATAAGTCAATCAGAGAAAGACAATTATCATATGATCTCACTGATATGAGGAATTTGAGAAACAAGACAGAAGATCATAGGGGAAGGGAGGGAAAAATGAAACAAGATCAAACCAGAGAGGGAGGGAAACCATTAGAGACTCTTAATCTCAGGAAACAAATTGAGGGTTGCTGGAGTGGAGGGGGTGGGAGGGATGGGGTGGCTGGGTGATAGACATTGGGGAGGGTATGTGCTATGGTGAGTGCTGTGAATTGTGTAAGACTGATGAATCACAGACCTGTACCCCTGAAACAAATAATACATTATATGTTAATAAAAAAATTTAAAAAAAAGAATAGCAATTTACTGGGTGCCTGGGTGGCAGGGTTAAGCGTCCAGCTCTTGATCTCAGTTCAGGTCTTAGATCTCAGGATCATGAGTTCAAGCCCTCCGTGCCTAGCATGGAGCCCACTTAAAAAAAAAAGTAGCAATTTACTTAAGTTGTGGATTTGAATTTTAACAAATTTTTTGATTGGAGTGTACTTTGTAAATTTTTTTTGGTTTCACATTTGCAAGTGAACCCTGGTGGAGCCTGGGAGATTTTTCCATTAAAATGGATTGTGCCTTTCCAATAAAACGGTCTGACAACCACCAGTATTTCCAAGGCCTGTTCATGAGACTGTTTTGTTTTGAATTTGAAACTCTATTTCTCCATCTGGAAGCTGGTATTTTTAGATTGTTAACTTTGTTGTATTCCTTTCCTTTTCAGATAAAGTTATCGGACTTTGGTTTCTGTGCTCAAGTTTCTAAAGAGGTGCCCAAGAGGAAATCACTGGTTGGCACTCCCTACTGGATGGCACCTGAGGTGATTTCTAGGCTACCTTATGGGACAGAGGTAAGGGGGTGACAGTCATTGTTTGGGGGTGGCTGGACAGGCTCAGGGATGCAGTGGTTCTGAGAGAGTTAATGACCACAGATCGGGGTGATGATGTTTGACTCCGTATTTGACCCCCACTCACTAGACTTGTCACAGAGTAGGTTGTGGCAGGAAGGGGACTGGTAACCACTGAAGAAATTGCCACAACATTGATCCAGAGGCCTTTATTGAGGTCCTAAACAGCCACTGGGGGTGGAGGGTGGGGAATCACGTAAACTCTGACCCCACCCTCAGTGGCAGGCAGACCCCAATCAAGGCAATGCAACTTGAAACGTGGCCAGAAATGCACAGATGAGCAGGTGTCATGACTCGAAGGATAGATGGTCAGAGAAAGCTCTGCAAAATAGAGGTAATATTTGGCTGAGCAGTAATGTTTTCCCCTAGAAAAAAATATATATGAATATTATAATGTATTTTAAAATAGGGCACAATTTCTGTTTCCCTTGGAAAAGAAACAATTGCTCATAATCTGTTAAGGAATAAGGTTTTGGTATGTGAAAATAAGGGGCCAGAAGGAGTGGAGGAAAAGCCTTCTAGAGAGGGAGTACTGTGAGCAAAGCCCTGAGGCACACAAGTCTATGCACACGGCAGTAAGGAGCTCGTTCCAGCCGGGCACACAGCGTTTCCACACATTATGGTGCGGAAGGTGATTCTAAGAGAAGAGAAGCATGAAGAGGTGGCATGGACCAGTGAACTAAGGATATCGGCATAAGTGAAGGCAGACTCGGCTCTCTTTCCCTTGTTTGCTTGCCCTTGAATGAGTACTCGACTTGTTTGTCTCACTGTGGTCCCCAAAGCATAAATTCTCAGTGAAGATCACAGCAAGGGTTATAACAGGAATGCAGCTCACTGATAAAAAGTGGAATGCAGCTGGAACGGGGAAGCAGTTGTAACTGGGAATTGATATAGCCCAGCTAAGGATTCTCATCTTCCTGACTTCCCATGCTGCACTCGGAAAGAATTGCTTGTCGTCTCTTCCTTTTCTTTTCTCTGTTCCCTGAAAATGGTTTTATAAGGCAGGGTTTTGTACATGCTACTTCAAAATGATAAAATGCAAAGGAAAGAACCCCAATGTAGGAAAGGAAGAGCTATTTTTAAAAAATTAAATTAATAAAAGGATCAGCATATATCGAGTTGTGCAATGTAGATTTTGCAGTTTGTTATGAATATGTCAGATGCCTTTTTTATGGTTTAAATGCAACTGTCTTCTCTATGTTCATAACATAAAAATTGGGTGTTTTTCTCATCTGCCCTGATAGGTAACCAACCACCAAATATAGCAGTAAAAAAAAAAGTTCTGAACTCCAGAATGTTAAGATACTCCTGTGTACCTAAATGGCAGAATCTTCCCTGAAGTTGTCTTTAAAAAGCAAATGAATGCCTTATATTTTAATTAAAATGAATTTAAAAGAAATAAAAATAACAATTAAGATTAAAAAGCAAATGAAAACCATTAGCAAAAATTTGGTAACTTGGCACTTCAGGCTGTAAATCTGTGCTATAGGTTTTGGAAGTTTACAAATACCACCTTAATTTATAAATGGGTATGAATCTGTTGGGTCCCCTGGACACATCCAACATTTCAGAATGTTCTCCTTGCCTGAGATAACCATTGGGTTGTGCCTAACAGGTGGACATCTGGTCCCTCGGGATCATGGTGATAGAAATGATCGATGGCGAACCCCCCTACTTCAATGAGCCTCCCCTCCAGGCCATGCGGAGGATTCGGGACAGTTTACCTCCAAGAGTGAAGGACCTACACAAGGTGAGAAGCAGCATCTGTTGCTAAAGTTCAAAATCATTCTTAGATATTTTTAGTCTCTCTGTAGCTTCAAAGACTGGCATATCATATCCAGGAGTGGATCCTGGTTTATGGGCATGGACTTTGGAATTAGAATCACTTGGATTCAAATCTCTGCTCTTCCCGTTCACTCAATGGTCAAGGGACTCCGCCTCTCCATCTCTGAAGTTTGTCTGTAAAATGGGTTACAATTTGCTCCTTTGTTGTAGGGTTGGCTAGAAGAGTCAATCAGGCACTCCACAAGAACGCCCTCACTGAGCACCTGTGACATACTGGGGACTGTTCTAATTACTGGGGATATTGCAGCACAAGACCTCAGATTTCCTGACTCTCATAGAGCTTGTGTTCTAGTTAGGGAGGCAGATGGTAAAACCACAAACAAACGGATGAACAAAATAATTTCAGGGAGTGGAGCAAAGCAAACACTGTAATGCAATGGAGTATGAAGGAGAGGGGGGTTGGGAACTTGTTTAGGTTGAAGGGTGAAAGAAGCCCTTTCCGGGGACAGATTGTCTGAACTGGAATATGAATAGAAGGAAGAAGCAAGATATGCAGAGATCTGGGAGAAAAAGTCTGAGGCAAAGGGAACCACAGGTGCAAAGGCCCTATGCCAAGTTGGAAAGCTTCTATGGCTGAGCAAAGTGAGCCAGGGGAAAGGGTAATACATGTCAGGGAGGGGGGCAGGGGCTGGATCATACAGGGCAATGAAGGGCATGGTTAAGGGACCAAGTAGGGTCTTTCCTGTTTTCCAAGTGTTGCCAAGTAGGGTCAAGCTCGGAAAATAATGACGTTGAGTCAAAAAAACACCAATCTGGCAACTGCCAGTGTGGCGCAGGGAGGAACCGAGGCTGCCTTTTAGGGAAGAATTACCCTTTCCACCCCTAAAGCTTAGAGAAGAGTCCCAATAGAATCACCCCTATAGTTGTGTGAACTTGCAGGAAAACAGGAAACTGCTTGAATTGAACAGGAGATTAAGACGTTTACTGCATTGGACTAAGTTTAAATAATCCAAAGTAGCTAAAATAGCATGGTATCAAAATAGTCCCACACCCAATGCAAATCTTCCAAGTCACATACAAGAGCAGCCTTAATCCTAATGGTCAGAAACTAGACACCACCCAAAGTTGTTTTCCAAATGGATAAATAATATGTGGTATAATTTAGCAGTGAATACTATACAGCAATGACAAGTTTAAAGCTTTTACCGCACACCTCAGGGGTGAATCCCACAGACACAATGTTGAGTAAAAGAAGCCAGATAGAGAAGAGCTGACAGTATATAACTTCATTTCCATAAAGGACAAAAGAGGCAAAACTAATGTATGTTACTAGAAGTCAGGAGAGTGGTGACTCATTGCAGGGAGATGAGTATTAACAGGAAGGGGGCCCGAGGTAGCCCCCCCCGGAGTGGTAGGAATGTTCTGTATTGTGATGGGGCTGGAGAGTAAATAGGTGTATACACACACACACACACACATACACACATACACACACACACACACTCTACTGTAAGACATACACTTAACATTTATGCATTTGAACGTATGTAAGATATACTTCAAAAAGTAAACTACAAGAAATTACAGGAAAACATACTATCTGTGTCAGATATCTTTCTAGAACCTTGTTTGTTTTCAAGAAGGGGGAGTCCACAAAGCCTAGATGGTTGCAATTGTTAGAAAAATAGAACTATTCCATGTTTGTACCACACTTCATCAGATGTATGTGGCCAGTGCCTATAAATAGTAAGCACTTCACAATGCTATTGTTCCTATTATTATTTAATTTAGCAAATCGACCATCATGTTTCATTGCTCTATCATTAACTCCTGTTATTTCAAACATGAAGAAGGTAAAGAAGCATTCGCTTCAGCAGCACATATACTGAAGAAGGTCAAGAAAACAGCATATGTTAATAAAGGCAGTACCTGCTTTTGCTTCCATAACTTCTTTCTTCTCAAGCTGACTTTCTAGAATTTGCTATTGTTTGATAGAATGACTTAACTGGGAAGTGGCTGGGAAACCACTCTAGGGGAACTAGGTTGGGTTTCTGTGTTAGTCCTCAGGATGGGATCTTGTGTTCTCACAGGTTTCTTCAGTGCTCCGGGGATTCCTAGACCTGATGCTGGTGAGGGAACCCTCCCAAAGAGCCACAGCCCAGGAACTCCTTGGACATCCATTCTTGAAACTGGCAGGTCCGCCATCTTGCATCGTTCCTCTTATGAGACAATACAGACATCACTGAGTAGAGGATTCTACTGGTGGAGTAGTTGGAAGAGCTAGATGAGGACATGAGAATAATTCAGGAGAACCTGAGGAACATGAAAAAGGCCTGTGTACTCTAACCAGCTGATCAGTGGGACAATGTGATGACAGGCAGGGTTCAACAGACCAGGGCATCTTCTTGTGTCTTAAAACAGGCATCTCTCCACTGACAGCTGGCATGATCATTTGGAACATGGCTTTAATAAGTCATTATTATATTTTTCAACACTTCATCCAGCAAATCAGAAGGACTCAGTACAAACTCCATTATGACATATCCTAGCCACATGCAGGGTAATGCATAGGATTTTCTATATTGAAAGAATACTTTTCTGGCAAAAAAAAAAAAAAAAAGAAAGGAAAACAAAAAGCACTTTTTTCTTAATGGTAGCAGTGTAATGTATTTTGCAATGAATTTGTAATTTTTCTGTACGATAGTTTTGATAATTTATAGTACTTTGATGTCATGTAGCCATAGTATCAGTTGAAGTAATACTTGTTTACTTAGCAAGAGTTTGAACAAAGCCTTTCCTACTTTTTTATCCCTTTCGGAGAAACAACGATTCTTTAGGAACTTTGAATACTGAATGACTCTCAATCACCGTCAGCTTTAGTAGAATATCTTTCTTATCTTAACAAGTGTCTTATGTGATGGAGGAAGAGTTAAGAGTGATGGTGATGGAGGTGCACATTTCATTTATCCAACCAAAAATAACAAAATTGGAGCCACAGTAAGCCACCAAGCCACTCCTTGAGATAAAGCTAAATCTTTGGAAAATTCAAATTTTCCTTCAAGGCTATTAATTGCACACCAGTGTTTGCACAGCAGGGTGTTTTCCCCTGTCACGCCCTCTCTCCAGGGGGTGCGACTCTCCCCCCCACCCCGCCCCATGTGGCCACATTTCCCACCAAGGGAACAATTTTCAGTGCTAGGATCATTGGATTCAGTTCCCCAAATTGAATGTTGAAGGAAGACTGTGAGAATTCCAGTCTCACCAAGGGAAAGGAGAGAGAACAGGGCAAGATGTTTGGTTTTGTTTGTCACTGTTTTGAAAACTCTGTGTGCTAGCACACCAAACTCTTGTCTGTATTTACCTTCGTCCTGCAGTATTGCTATTGTTCCTGTATCGTGCTGGAAGTCAGGACTGACTCTAGAGGATGAATTAGGAAGGGGGTATTTTACCAGGTGTGTTCTGACTTCAGTTGTGACCCTGTTATAATGTGTTTCTGACATAGGGGAGTTGTGCTGCTGACTAGATCTTCTTGAATGTTGATAAAAATGAATGACTACTACAATACATTTTGTGTTGCTTGTTGGATGAATTTGCATGTTAACTGTAGGCCAATATAGATTTGCCTTTAAAAACTCTGGAAGAGCTACATAGTCATCATTAGTTTCTATTAATTATGTATCAGAAAAAAAAAGCCATTTGTTACCAAACTGGAAAACCAGAGGCTTTTCTTAATGACTTCAACATACTGTAACAAATAGGAATTTAAATTTGTGAAAATGCTCTGGTTTCTCTAAGCATAATTAAGAATTTTTGTAATTAATAGGTTGCTAATTATTTATTACAGCTAAAAAAGAAAAAAAAAGGCATAAAATGACCTTCTACAGATGAGATTTTTCAGTTTTTCCCCCAAACTGGAAATGTCTCACCATGAATAGGATCTATAATTTTGTTTCATAAAACACAAATCAATGTTTTATGTAAAATATTAAAATATTAATATAAATATGTATGAATAAAAATCTAAATCCAGAAAATGGCCATCCTTAAAGTTCGTGGAACAGATTGTATTACTTTAACCAGGACTATGTAGAAGTAGAAAGAAAAAGAAAATCTTTTTTTAACCAGAATAAACATTAAAAACCATTGCAGAAAATTGTGGATTTTGGATTCCAAACATTTTCAACAGTATAATAGAAATTTTTCTGTAATTTTCTTATCACTGGGTATTTTATAAATATTCATTGAGTTTACCAAAAGTTACTGTAGCTTAAAAGGTTTTGTGAGCACTAACTATTGGCAAAAACTGCACTTGCAAATAAAAATAAATGTTTGCCTTTTTCCCATCGTGTTATTAGAAAATCCAATGATTTCCTGAATTTGTTTTCTTAAGTAACCAAGAATGCTTTCTTTATGAACTTGGGGAATGCAAATGAGTTAAAATAAAGTTAGATGTAACATCATGATGACATGAACCAAAGACAAATCGTCCCATCCCCAGAGGTCACAAACAGTGGAAGACTGTGGTAAAGATAACACAACTAAGAAGAAAAAAATTACTAAATTCTGGAAGGCCACGTGCAAGGAAAGCCAGATTCATGACTAAAGACTCACTCCACTTCCCTCTTTCAAAGATGCTAAACTGACCCAAAGGTTTTTATCAACAAAAGACACAAAGAGGGGATTATTCTGGATTAGAGCAGGTGTAGTGAAGGCTCTCTAGTAGACTGGAAGACACTGTTGGGGCCTCCTCTTCTTTGGGGGACCAGGGAGGCATTGACATTTAGCCCATAATGTTGAGAGGGACACTTGTATATAGAGAGTTCATTGCTTGGGGCTCAGTTGGTTAAGCATTCGATTTTTGATTTCGGCTTGGGTCATGATCTCAGGGTCATGGAATCAAGCCCCATATTGGGCTCTGAGCTCAGCACAGAGTCTGCCTGAGATTCTTCTCTTCTCTCTCTGCCCCTCTCCCTGCTCCCTCTCTCTCTCTCTTTTTCTCTCTCTCTCCAAAAGGTAAATAAATAAATAAAATATTTTTTTTTAAAGAGTTCATTTCTTAACCTGGAAATTTCAGAAGGTGGAAACCCTCAGGAAATAGCCAGAGGTAGCAGGCTGAGAAAAGATGTAGTATATCATGTGCCAGAGAAGAGAAAGATGGAAGCATCCTCCCCCAGGCAGGAAGCCATTGCAAGACATGGAAGAAGACACCAGGTCCCTTTGTCTGTGATGGGCCATGGAGAGGGAAAAGGGAACATGTCAAACCATTTAACCAAGTAATGAGATGCCTAATTTGGAGAGCACATTGGAGGATGCATCACAGGGAGAACTAAAGGGAGATAGGGCAACTTTTCTGCAGGGGGAAGGGGTCCAGGTGGAGCTGAAACTTACTCTAAAATCTACATGGAACATCTACACCAAGGCCACTCTCAATAGCAGAGGCTGTAGTCTTAGGCTGACTCAAATGACATGCAGACATCTCCCCTTCTTCCAACAGCATCTCCAAGGCAGCTGACTGCAGCCAGCTGTTTACTGGAGCTTCCCTTCCAGGCTGCTCCCCATAGATCTGGGCCGTGTGTTAGTGTGAGACCCCACGGTTTGGGGGAAGATTCTAGAAGAAAGAAAAGGAGAACAAGAATGCATACCATGTCTCCTGCCACTGCCTATCTACTGCTACCTCTTCCTCAGATACAAGTTTAGCCCACGCAAAAGAGAGGGGAGTTATTTTGAATTAGAATGAGACTGATTTTTTTTAATGGATTAGACAGATGGAATCAGACTGAGTTATGGTTGTATCCCCACTACCCACTGGGAAGAACACACTCAGTAGCAATTACTGAAAGAATAAAAGCATTCCATGAAGTTAACAACTCATTGAGTTGTTCTTTGGTCAAACCAGTCAGATTAATAGCACTGTGTCATCAAAGAAACAGTAATGAGATTCCAGGCAAAGAAAAAATCAGTTCAGTCTGAAGCAGGTACAAAATGTACAAGCAGGAGCAGTTCTGTAAAAGTGACACGATGTAGTACAAATCCAAATTGTTCAGGAAAGTCGGTCAACTTGAGCCCTCAAATGTGTGCATCTTCAGTTGTATCTCCAGGTCAAATAAATATATTACCTTAGTGTGGGTTCTGCCAAAGGAGAGCCTAAGACAGATACTTAGATACAAGTACTTTATTTGGGAGATGAGTCCAGGAAGCTCACTCAACATGTAGAGTGGAGAAGTGAAATGAAGAAGGGAGAGGTTTTTTGTTTTTTTTTTTTTTAATGATGGCTTACCACTGTGAATAACTAGAGCTCAGTCCACTGAAGACCTTCTGAGAGAGACACTGTAGAATTGTCTTTTTGGAGGCGAAGATGCTTGGGTATTTATCCACCATTTCCTATGCCTCATTGGTTGAGAGTTGCTCCAAGGACATCAATCCTTAAACTTCTATCTTGCCCTGTATATGGACAAAGCTTGTTCCCTTTGACGAAGAGAGAGGCATGGGAAGCTTGTGCAGAAACTGTCAACAAATGGCCTCCATGAAGGGCTGAGACAATATGGGTGAGATGCTGACAACATCTACGTAAATAGATCTAATGAAGGACAAAAAGAGAAGCGTTGAGAAACTCTATGGGTTGCCGATTTCTGGATCAAAATACACTGTTTTAAAAGCAAAGGGATTCCTTATCCTGAAAGGTTTGCCCACGTAACAAATGCTTTGGTAAGTATGCCTCATCATTGTCAGCATTTGAAAAAATTTAAAGCTAGAAGAGACTCCAAGATCCTATATGATCCATCTTAACTGAGCTAACCAAGGCTCCCAAAGTTAGGCAATGTCAGTAGATGAATCGTACTACCTGAATAGACCACACACACATACACACACACATGGAGCGAGACTTCAGTTCTATTAGGGCAGGGGCTTTATCCCTATTTTGTTCACTGATATGTCCTCATCACCCAGACCAAGGTCCAGAAAACCCATGGTCAGTGAGTGCTAACAAATACTTGTTATCTCTTTGGTCATATGAGTCTTTGTGAATCCTTCCTCAGCAGACAAACTGACAAGTCAGTCACTTTTTTTTTTTTTTTTAGATAATTGACATATTAGTTTCAGGTGTACAACATGATTTGCTATATGTATATGTTGTGGAATGATAAGTCTGGTTAACATCTATCAACACACATAGTTACAATTTTTTTCCTCATGAAAACTTTGAAGATTTATGCTTAGCAACTTTCAAATACATAATACAGTATGATTAATCATAGTCACCATGCTGTACATTATCTCACAGGACTTATTTATTTTATAAAAATAAGAAAAAGTTTGTACCTTTTGACCCCTTCATCCATTTCACCCACCCCCAATCCTCTGCCTCTGGCTGGCAACCATCAACCTGTTCTCTGATCTATCAACTTGGTTTTTTTTTTAACTCCACATATAAGTGAGTGTCTTTCTCTGCCTGACATATTTCACTAAGCATAATGCCCTCAAGGTCCATCCATGTTGTCTCAAAGGGCAGGATTTCCTCCCTTTTTATGGCTGAGAAATACGTGTGTGTGTGTGTGTGTGTGTGTGTGTGTGTGTGTGTGTGTGTGTGATATGTTTCCTTTATCCATTCATCTGT